TGAGATGGTTAGAAAACCTCTATCGATAGTCAGTCACTCTTCCGTATTCTAGGTGTGCACCTCAAAACCTTGAAAAACTTCTGATAAAGTTTACCAGCAACTAAATAAATTCAAACTCTAATCTGTTATCTTCTCACATATCTTGTGTTTCCACCTCTATTTCTCATTTATGAAAGGCACCATTATCTTCCTATTAATATGGAATAAAATCTCAGGATCTGTGGCTCATCTTTTTCCTTCATCTCCTGTTTCTTCCTCATCCACTTTACAACATACATACACATTCAGACACAAAGTTCACCCATTTTCTTTCCAAAATAGCCCTTACCTTGAGGTTGGCTGTTATACCTGTAACAGCCTTGTAGGTAGTCCACACTGCATGCATAGGACTCTGCCTTTCTAACCATCAGTTACCTTTCGAACAAACTCTTACAAAGTTTGCCCCCAACTTGATTTTCCAATGTTTGTTCCCTACTTTTCGCCCCAGTGAAAGTGAACTGCTTGCTTTTCCAGGTTACACTGAAATCTCTTATTTCTCTAGCCCTTTTCATGCCTTTTTCTCTGCTCAGGAATTACCTTTTCTTCTGCCTGTTGAACTCTTGCACACATCTATATAGTGTCTCTTAATGATTTTCTAAAGTCTATGTGATACTTTGCAAGTTCTATAGCATTTTTTAAAACTATTTAGCCAATTATTTTCAAAATTATATATTATTTAGCAGCATTATTTTGCTTTCAAAAATATCTTACACAGAACCATATATATATATATATATATATATATATGTATACAAACACAAACATATGTGTGAGTATAATATACATATATAAAATTTTGTTGGAATTAATTGATTTGCTATGTTCACATCGATAACATTTACTTTTATAAAGTCAATCAGTGAGAAGAATGATGAGTAAATTTGCAATTTTAGACAAATTTGTCAATAAACAGGGATGGCAGAAAAAATTTATTTATCCTAATATCTGCATGGAAATAAATGAGGAAGAGAAGTTAAACTGTTGATGGACTTCATTGTGTTAAAATTTACAACATAAAATGTTTAAGTTCATTTTTCATAAATATTTTATTTTAGAATAGATTTAGATTTTAGAAAATCATGAAGATAATACAGAGTTTCCATACACCCCACATCCAGTTCCCTGCTATTATTAACATCTTACATTGGTAAGGCACATATGTTACAATTGATGAACAAATATTGATACATTCTTATTAAGTAAAGTCCATACTTTGTTTAGATTTTATTGAATTTTTACCTTCTGTGGTTTTTAAAAGAATTTTGAAAGAGTTAAACTACATTTTAAGAATGATATAATAGTAGAATTACTGAAACACTCCATGGAGTCTTTGTTTTCTGTGGAATACAGCAAAAACCATGCTCCTTCTGTTTTAGTCTCATTAATCTACTATCTGTGACCCTAAGCCACCCTTTCCTTTTCAAATTATGTTTCTCAATAAAGAATTACTTTCTTTTTAGTTCCCTAAATAAATTGCATGGGCACGGTCGATGCCTCATGCCCCTGTTGGGTATCTGCTTGGATGATGTCTTTCTCCCCTTGCCCAACTAGTGAATTTTGATTAATTCCCTAAAATCTAAAGTAAGAACCATCTACTCTGTGGCTGCATTCCTAAAGATGCTAATAATCAGTCTATAGTGGTTTTAATATCAGCCATTTTTGTCAAACTGAATATGCAAATTTCCATTGCATTTTGTTCGACTTATCACCTCATTTCCCATTTGACTAAATTTAATAACATTTCTATTTCCTTTGTACTGACATGACATACAGAATTTGAGAAACTTACACATTTAACCGAAGGGAAACTCTATAAAATTTGATAGAGCAAGGTCTTTCTTGAAGTGTGTGTGTGCACACACACGAGCATGCATGCAAACACGAGTATAAGATCATCCGTTCTCTTTTTCTTTTGTGCCTAGAGTCAAGTCAATGGAAAGGAACTGAATTTAACCATTGCAACCCTTTTTTAGCTAATTATTTTAAGCTTTATAATTTAATATTACAATAAGCTTTGCAATGAAAAATAATTGGATTTGGGAGGGATTGATTAAAAAAATGCTAGTAACATAATTTTTTTGTGAATTCGGTATAATTTAATTAGCATTTTGATCAAGAGCAATGATAATAATGTCCAAAAGGATCAGTGCTGATTTTTTGTTATTCGTGTTACTCCCTCTTGATTCAAATTGCTGCTATTTTACAGCTCTTTGCTATTTCCATCAGTAGAGAAAAGACAGAGAGCAGCAAATTCAATTCTTTCCATTTGCTTTTGACTACTTGTAAAGCAGAGTGATTACAGATGTCAGGGCAGGATTTTCTGTGGGACTATTTGCCCTTGCTGAATCTTTCTTCTCTCTGAATGCCTTGTGGAAGTGTGATGAAATTATTACATACCAATTTATTAAGTTAAAGAAATAAATCCAACTCATATATTTCTTTCAATTGAAATTTAACCCTACAAGTGATGTTTATCCTATTGGGAGTAGACTGGAAAACAGAAAAAGATTATTACATTTATTGTTGATAATTACTATTTTTCATAGTACATTTGTGTAATGTCAAACAGTTGTTGGTTTCTTATTCAACATCTCATTTAATCCTGACAGAAATCCATTTCTATTGGAGCTAATAACACTGTTATCTACATTTATAGGTAAGGAAGCCAAAAGTCAGAATAGTTAGGATTAACTGAGATTATAGTGATTACCTTAACTAAGATTATACAACCATTATGTTGAAGAAAAGAACCAGAACTCACATCTCAAAGGAACCCTGGACTAACTTTTTTCTAGCAACAAATTTAGTTATATTATTCGAGCACTTAATATTTACCAGGTGATATGCTGGGTTTGGGGATCCCCAGATGAGAAGACATCTGCTTCCTTATAATAAACAGTCATTCGCAAAAAAAGGAATTCCACTTCTCTTTTTCTGCTTGCTCTGACTGGTGAAGAGATTGAAGAGCTGGGATGTGCCAAAATGTTGGAAATAACAGGAGATTTAAATAAATCAGATTTGGGGGGCAGAAATTATGGAGGGAAGTTTTACATGGGTTGTTATAATTAGTCTCAACAACTGATAAATATCTGAACCAAGACAGTGGCAGTGGAGTTAGTGAGGATGGGACAATATAATTGGCAAGCATTTTAACAATAGTTAAGAAATGATTGGATATTGAGAATGAAGAAAGGTCAGTAGTTGAGAAAAGCTGTTTAAATTACTCTTCTCCAAAATAGGGAGTGATAGAGTATGAAGGTGAAATAAGGAGGAAAGAGTAACAAATTATATTTTTCAGCATAAACTTCCTTTCTTATCACTACCCTCCATTTTCATTGGTCACATCCTTGCCTAAATTTAAGCCTTGATTTCTCTACCTGTACTTTCCCTTCTCCAAGGCAATATTACAATTCAGAGGTAGAATCTATTTTCATTGGAAGAGTGAAAATATTCAGAGAAAGTCTGCAGAAATAGAATTCTTATGTCAGTAAATTAAGGGGGGCATTAACAGGTCACCAAGACCTTATAGAAAGGCGGACAATAAAGAGAAAAATACAGAAAATAAGGACAGACAAGAGAAGCTGGTGTTTCATCAAATGGAACACAGTACTTGAAGCTGAAATATAAGTACTACACTCCCAGCTGTCCTAGCAACAAGAACTCCTTCATCCGGTAGACATCTAAGAATGTGAAACCCACCTGCAATGCTGGGAACAGTAGTTAGAATAACAGTAGTTGGAGTAGTCTGGCTAGCTTCATCTCGGAATGGTCTGGGGAAGAGCTGAGGAGGGTTTGTGTTTCAGACAAAGAATGAAGTAGGGAACAGGAAAAATTTGAGATACGAATCAAAGCTGTGGGCTTGAGGAAGCCTGTGGATATCTGGTAATGATCAACTGTTGCTTCTTAAGCTGACTCTGCTTGGTTCAGTGTGGAAAATAATGAACAGGTGGTTGCTTGCTCCCATTGCCTACTCAGTTAAACTCATCAGTGTTGCTACCTGAAAGAAATCGTGGAATGAATAAAGACAAAAAAAGTTCACTCACCGGCTGCCTTATGTAAGGTGACCCTAAAGAGTAGCAATCCAGGCAGCCTGTCCTCTAAACTGGATTTATCATAGTGTTGGACAGTCAAAGGAGAACTCAATATTTGTCCTCATCTTCCATCTCATCTACAAAGCTCCACCTCAAATACCCACCTGATTCTCAACTCTTCTACAAAATTCTGCTTTAAAAATGGATGATTGATATGAAGAGTGAAGCATTTATAAAATTAAAAAAGAAAAACTATTTTCATGAGAGTTTCCTGGATGTCCATTAAAAGTACTGCTTTAAATTTTAGATCACTTAACAATAAAAATAACGTAGATAATCTGGGATTTAAAAAAATCAGGGGTCTCGTTCAGAAATCGAAAAATTTAAAAATTTGAAATTATTAGCTACAGCACAAAGAAATATTTCGACCCCAGTAATTCTTAATGAAATGAGAATATTTTTAAAGATACTTTCCATTAGTTGACAATTCTATTATTTAGTTATTTCTGTTGATTAGAAACTCAGATTGCTGTAAATTACCAATGACGAATTTTTTTTTATTGAGGGCATAATAGTTTATAACATTGTGAAATTTCAGTTGTATGTTATTATTTGTCAGTCACCATATATATGTGCCCCTTTACCCCTATGTCCCCCCCCCAATCCCCTTCCCCCTGAGTAACCAGTAATCTGTTCTCTTTGTCCTTGTATTTGTTTATCTTCCACATATGAGTGAAATCATACAGTGTTTGGCTTTCTCTGTCTGGCTTATTTCGCTTAACATAATACCCCCAAGGTCCATCCGTGTTGTTGCAAATGGGATAATTTTGTCAGACGAAACTTTTATGGCAGCCTGTTTTGTATAGTTATATGCATACTTTGTGTAATTTTCCATTAAGGCATAAAGTATTTGGGAAAAATACCACTAACCTTTATGGGAGAGCAGTTTGTCAAATGATTCACCCCATGTCACTGCCTCTTCAGGGGAGACTCTGTCCAAGAAACAAAATGTTTCGTAATGGAGTGTGCATAAAGTCTGCTTATGAGTCTGCTCTAACATATGCTATAATACTGCTCTTTTCAGTCATATTTCACAGGGTTTCTCCTTTGCTTATTACATAATGAAAGTTGTATTTACATTGAAATTTCAAAAACATTGGTCAACTTTCTTTTGGATTTTGCCTATCAAGCAACGTGTTTTTGATATTTTATAAATATTTTCTCATGAGTGTATGAATTATTTTATTTTTTAAGGAAAAATTAATTATGTGTTCAGTTAAAAACAAAGGAAAAGAAATCAGGTCAATTATTTTTCTTAATTCAGCAAATAGAAGAACCTAAACTGACAGTTTCTTTCAGTCAAACTTTTTTCAACTGCAATTTCCTTGAAACTCTTACCACAATATGTGGTAATTTTTTTTGAACAGATACAGGAAGTTTGACTAATGTAGTTATAAGGGATCAGAAATACAAAACATTTTTAATACAAAAAATGTTTTAGAGATGTTGATAATTTAGAGAGTTGAATATATTTGTCTTGGATCTTTTATTGGTCTTATTTCATATTTGGAAGAATTTGTATTATACTAGTATATAAGGCTATTCCATTTTCTGTTTGAATTAAAGAAATAGCTAAAAAATACAACATATCCCTTTCTGTGTTTGACTTGCTATTATACCTAGGGCGTTTTCTCAAACTACCGAGGAAAGAGATGAATAGCTCTTCTTTATGATAACATTACATTGTCAAAATTCTTGAATTAATGAGTATTTCACGAGTTTATAAGGAGTAAAATATATCATTAAAATTGACAGGCATATAATTTTAAAAGAGCACCTTTAAATTTTTATAAGATTATTTAATTCAAACTATTAAAGAGGTTTAATTTTATGGAATATTTCTAGTTTTTTGAGATGAGATCTCTAACCTTCCTTATATTACTGTATAATTTCCAATAAAATGGAAATCCCTAATTTCCTCTTTCTTAAATCTTTAATGATGGAATCAGCAAAATCTCCCCCAAATAATTAAAAGTTATTCACCTTGTTTCTTTGGCTAACTGCCCAGATCTACTGGAGGGGGTCTCTTCATGAAACTCAGGTTTCTGCAGGAGAAGACTTAGCCTGTTTCTTTTTTCCTTAGCTCTGTAAAGAAAAGGCATTAGCTTCAGGACAATTTAAATGAGAATTAAAATCTCTCTTTCTGATATCAAACTAGTTTGGAACTAGTAATCACCTAAATACTCCTTTTCACCGACCCCTGACTCACCACACACTCACAATGATTTTCCTAAAGAATTTCATTTAAATATTATGCTTGTGGAGGAACTAGGATAGCATATGTAAAATATATTTGTTTTTTCCCTTTGTGACTGTAAAGTATTTGAGATTATATTTCAACAAAGATTGCTACTAGTTCTTCGTGTAGTGAAAATTGTCGCACTTTTTTTTTTAATGGAAACATTTTAGATTTAACAGTTATTTACTCCTAATAAATAAAGAGCTTTTTTTCCAACTGTAACAATACAATCAATATATTTTCAACCAGATATTTTAAAAACAAATGCTAGCAAATATTCAACATCAATCCTCTTTTTAAAAGTATAAGGCTGATTTAAAAAATTGTGATTTTACCTGAGTTTGGCTTCTTTGCTCGTTTCTTCTTTTCCTGAACCATGTATTAACTTGAAAAAAGCTTTTTCTCTTGATTCGCACATATTTAATTGAGAAAAGAAAATTAATGAGGTTTCCATCTTCTTTCTCTAAAATGAAGAGATGTCTAATTTATTACATCTTCACGTGTTGATGCTATTCTATAGTTATACATGGTAGAAGAAAAAGTTAACTCTGTCAGCAATGCTTAAAAAAGTTAAGAGCTGTGTTTCTGCTTCTGCAAAAATGTAGAACTGAGGAACTGAAGTACAGTTCGCTCCTGAGTTGTTTAGGGAAATGATACTACAAATTTGCAAAATGACTCTTGGTCTCTAAGATAAAGACTAGTATTACCACAGTGCAACTTCTCTTTCTAGTTTGTGCAACCAGAATGATGCTTTAATGGACACAAATGACACTGTCATTTCCCACAGGAACTTTTCAAAAGTTGTTTAATGTGTGTAGTGTGTGGTAAAATGTGTTGTGGCAAAGTACTACATCAAACATTAGGAGACACTTGCCCTTGTTCTTAAAAAAGTATTTTTTACTTATTTAAATTACATTGAATAAAGTAAATTACATTTGATTGACATAATGCTATGTAATGTTAATTTCATTTGCTTAACACTGGATCAAAATAAGACTATAGATCATAGAGTTTTATAGTTGAAAGGGAGAGTAGAAAGCATTTAATTCAATAATTTTTAAGCACAGGTTCATGGAATGATTTTAGACATTTATGAAATTTTTACCAGTCTGTGATAAAAATGGGAAAAGAAAAATATGCATATTTTCTTAAATTATATTTTTATTTTTTTAATATGAAGGACTTCCTTATTTTGAATTTCCCCATCATCTTTTTTATTGTTAAAATATTCTTTTTAAAGACAGTTTAACTAGAAATGGCAGTTTTTATATTTCTATTTTAAGTCCTTATTAAAAAAGAAATGACAACTCCAAGTTGGTTCAGCCTTCACTTCTTTTACTGTTTCCTGAGACCCAAATATTTAACAAATACTGATGTAGTCCCTAACTCATATTTTATAGAAAAAGAAACCGAGGATGATAAATATTAAGTGATTTATTCTTGCAAAGTCCTAGAGGTCAGTGGAAGAGAAGATCTAGAATTATCAGAGCCTCCGATCACCAGTGGCGTGTGCTTTAGTTTTTCCAAGAGCCTTCGATCTCCAGTAGTGAATGCTTTAATTCCTCTAAAATTAGATATGTAAAAAATAAGTTAAATCTAAAAGAAAATTTATTTTATTTTCAGTCTTTTTGAATTATTTATTTCAAGAAAATAGTTATGATACCAGCTAGGAGCTCAAAATATTTGCAGAATTGAAATGAAAGAATATTTGGTATATATTTATACATATACCCTCCCAATTCTTTAACGTTTACTTTGAACGTATTTTTAAATTCACCTTGGCTGAAAATTGACTGTTAACAAGACTATCCATGATGGCATTTTATGGCAAGTTTAGGTGGAAACAGATCCTGATAATGAGATTACACTTCCACCATGATGTCCCCTAGTGTTTATGAGCATTCCTCATATTTATATGAGGTTTAATTTTGTACCGGTGAATGAGGGCAAGGGAATATCACGGGGGCATGGACACCATCCAGTCCCTAAGACTATATTTGAGTTACTATATCCAGAGAAGTGAGAGATGAACTTACTGAACTATTCGTCGTAAGATCTGTTAAAATCGTGTGCAAGATGTGCTATCCACGAGCTGATAGAAATATGGAGAGAGACATTGTGAAAATATGGACACAAGTGAACTACATTAAAAACCTGTACAAAGGTCAGAAAGAGAATTGGGAGATAGATGGATTTGCTCTTTGTGTACGCAGACAGGTGGAGGCCGGAGACGAAGAAAAGTGCGGACGCTACATGGTGACTTCAGCTAATAATCATTCTTATAGTCACAATTATCTTTTAAATATTTTTCAATGAGAAAGAATAGTCTTTTATATTTATCCACATGTTTACCGTTTCCAGCTCTCTTCACTTCTTTGTGCAGACCTGAGTTTCCATCTGAGATCATTTTCCTTAAGCTTAAAGACCTTCAACGTTTTCTGTAGTGAAGAATGAAGATCTGCTGAAAACAAATTTGCTCAGCTTTTGATTTTCTAAAAATGTGTTTTGTTTTTTTTTTATCTTCAGTTTGAAGGATATTTTCACAGGATAGAATTCTAAGTTGACATTTTTGTTTTTTTTTAACACTTTCAAAGATGTTGCATTTTTGTCTTCTGACCTCCATTATTCCTGAAGAGAAGTCAGTGATAATTTGTAGAACACTTCTTATGCACTAATGTATCTTTTTTCTGTGGCTACTTTTTAGGTTTTTTTCACCTCTGATTTTTTAAGATTTGAGTAAGATATGAAAAGTATCTATTCTACTTGGGGTTTGTTGAACTTCTTGGACTTGAGGGTTTGTAGTTTTCATCAAAGTTGGAAACTTCTAGGCACTAGTTCTCTATTTTTTGTTTCTCTTTCTCTCATCCTCAGAGACTCCAATTACAGGTATGTTTGACCCCTTGACATTGTCTCACTGATCACTTAAGAACTATTCAATTTTTTCAGCCTCTTTTCTCTCTGTTCCCAACATTTTCAATTGCTATGTCTCCATAGCAAAGTTCACTGATCTTCTCTTCCCTGGTGCCTAAACTGTCGTTAGGCTTATCCAGTACATTTTTTACATCAGCTCCAGAAATTCCTTTCTTTTATAGTTTGCGTTTTTCTCTTCATTATGTTCTTTTTTTAAGCACTTGAATATTTAAAATACCTGTATTGAAGTTCTTTCCTGAAAATTCATCTCTGTGATTCTGGGTCTGCTTGTGTACCAATTTTCCTTCTGATGATGGCACATTTTCCTGCTCCTTCAAGTGTCTAGTAATTATTTATTGGATGCTGGACATTTTGAATTTTACGACATTAGATATCAGGATTTTGTTAGTCTTCATTTAATGATGATGGAGTTAGTCTTGGCCAGCAGTTATTTAAGTATCAGCTTTGTCTTTAAGGATTTTTATTTAAACTGTGTTATTGTGGGTCTAGGGTAGCCTTACTTACTAAGGTATGATGATTCTTAAATTTCTATTGAATTCCCAGGGTGATTAAATTAATTCAATAAAGGAATTCATTAAAGCTTTCCTATTCTGAATGTTAAGAACTTGAATGTCCCTCAGACCCGTGTGAGCTCTGGCCATCGTTAACCTATATCTTATGGTAGGTATCCTTTGCCAATACTCGTGGAGTTTTATTCTGCATGTGAGCTGCTTAATATTCAGCCAGACTCAAAGGCACCATCGTACAAATATCTTCAGCTCTTCCTAGTACTGTATCTTGCAAATTTCAGCTCTCTTCATCTCATTGAACTCAAATCACTGTTTCCTCAACTTAAAATTGTGTTTTTTGCTCTATTTAAGCAGTACCCCTGTAAACTTCTCAGTCTCTAAATAAGGCTTATATTTTTTCCCTGAACTGAAGTCTTTAAAGAAACCAGTTGAAGTTGTATGGATCACTTTGTCTGTCTCTCTTCTGTTCAGGATCGCAGGTCTATGCTGCCTATTTTCAGCATTTGAAAAAAGTTGTAAGATATATTTTTCCAGTTTTCAAGTTGTTTATGGCAGGAAATAATGTGTTGTATCAGTTAATCCATCATGATCATGGCCATCTTTTACCTGTGATATATATATCCTGTTACCTTACTGAATTTTGTTATTGCTGTTATTGCTCATAGAAATATTCATAGTTTTCTTATATTTCTCAATGAACAATAAGATTCTTTATAAATATTATTAGTTTCAACAACCCTTTTCCAATTTATACTTTAATTTAATATTCTAGCCTCATAATATTGGTTTATAACTTCAGTATAGTAAGTTGATAGTTGGAATCCTTATCTTCTTTTCCTTGGTATTAGGAGAAATTAGGGCTCACTAAAATGAGGCTAGGTTTTAGACTTATCTTTTGTGAATGTGTACATTTATATAATTATGTTCCTTATTCTCTTATTATAACTCTGTATGGAATGTAAACTTGATACATTTCTGTTGTTTACTTTCATGTGAAATTAGTTTTCTTTTACTTTCAGAATAAGCCAAGATTCAAGAAAGCTTTTCTAGCTTTAGTTTACTTAATTTTAGTAATCATGGTGGTGGTAGTATTAGTATTATTATTATGAGAATAAAAAAATGAATAATTAGTGAATGTTCTAATTTATCATTCCCTGTGTCCCTGAGAAGCATAATTCTTGGTGTGGTATAAGGGACATTTAGATACAATAAGGAAGAGTTTAATTAAAATCTCTTTACTCTTCAAGTTTGAATGCAAGGATCAGTATAAACTTAGGAAGTTGCTGCTGGGTTGGTCATTGTTTCTAGTCTTTTATGTTGGACAGAGCTAGTATATATATATTTTCCTACCTGTAAATATTTTCTACCTCTTTCCACTATTAAGACCTAGATACAGTGACTAATGCATTAGCAATAAGACTCAGATTGTGATCTTGAAATGTCACTTCTTACTAAAAGCAACAAAGGTTTAGTGAAGACATCACTGATTCCAGGTCTGAGACAGGAAACGTACAAGCTGAGCCTGGCAAATTTTGTCATATCAGTTAACAGATTAGCTATCAAAAACTAATGGAGTCAATTCAAAATGATTTAAGGGCCACCTTTGCTAGTCTTCCACTAACAAAAATTAGTGAATTTCAATAATTTTAACAGTTAGAATGGATCGAACAGGTCAAACTTATTTATAAGTATATAGTGATATTTAAAAAGAATTATGTACCCTCAGAGGATTATAAAAATTAACCCATTATCATGAAAATTAGTTAATAAAGAGAAGAATTAATCAGTTATCCTGCCTTTCCCACTAATTCTACCATGGGTAATCAAACAATAGATGAGAGGGAAGTATTTCTATATTGATATTCTATCAAACAAATAGAAATGAAATAACAGCATTAAAGTCTCAACTTCTTTAACTACCAACAAATAATTACGTATAGGCATTAAGCTCCAGTGGTTGCTAAGATCACAGAAAAAGACACAAGGAGACATTATGTGCTTCCTCGAGCCTTGCCATACTCTACACATAGTTTTCCAAAGAGATCAAGTTTGATCCAGTGTCCGGATCCACCTGTCAATTAGCAGGAATGACAGAGGACCAAGAGACATGCTGAATGGCACCATGACTGTGCTATCAGTGAGATGCAAAGAGTGGGGAAAACTACAGCCCAGTTCTTCAACAGCTAAATTGTAAGAAAAAGAAAGAAAGTGAATTAAGGGGGAAATAGAACTGTCTCTGTGGATTGAACAAAAAATATAAATCTATAAGCCAAATACATCT